GGGCCACCCGGCCCATGAACAGGTCTATTTTAGACAGATTGACCAACTTGCAAAGAAATTTAACTTTACTTTTAAATGGGTTAAAAGGAAAGCTAATGGGTTGGCGAATGTGATAGCCAAGCAGGGAGATGATGGACCATCCTTATTTTGGGCATTGTTATAACCTAATTTTTTTGGGCATTGTTGTAACTTGACTTCAAATTTTAAATTAATAAATGAATTTCTTTGCTGATAAAAAAATACAAATAAGTTGAATTCTGACTAAGTACACCCAGGTTGCCACAATGAAGTATGCTGTCTTACCAAAAAACCTCCTTGGTTTTCTCATCTACTAGAATTTACCTATGTAACCTAATACAACCCACCTTCTTGCAGATTCTACTATATCTGGTGACTTTTCTTGTACCAAATCCTATTATCCAACCAGCCTTGTTCACATCATAACCCTTTCCCAACTATCCAATTACTTCCCAAAGTCCAAATACCCTCAACCCTCTTTCATAAGCAATCCAATCAAAACCTTAAGCATTCTAGTTATTTAAATATTAGATTTGAGACATGTATGATCAACAATCTCAAGGATTTTAGTTGATGATTGAATTAATTAGAAAACTTGTGACTCTAGGCTTAGGGTCACCCTATGCTTCATGGATAATTAAGCTCAGATTCCTATATTGTCACTGTTGAGAATATGATTTATGCCTAAAGTGGTTCTCTAGTTCTACATAAAGATGGAGAACAAGGGTCACTGCCTTATATCTTCTCTAAGACTATGTTTACAGTGCAAACCTGAACAGAGGACAAATTTTGCATTGGGTTCAGTTTTGCATTCGTTTACTTGTATCTATGATTTGCACTCTTACCTAAAACAAAAGTTACTCTTTGTCTCATTTGCATTCATTCTAGTGCAAATTTTACATTTTGAAAGCTGATGCAAGATTTCATCTTACTTCAATTCTCTCTCATATAAAGTAGGAACTACATTATTCTTCCATTCTCTTTCATATAAAGTGGGGATTACTTCAACTTACTTCTTATATTATAAATAAAAAAAGACAAAGTCAAGTCTGTGTTAGGTAAACATGGGCTGGCCTTCCAAACCTGGCCCAACATCATAGTTTGCAACCTGATACCAACCAGACCCAACATCATTTAACTTTATGGGGTTAGAAGTCATCCAAAATATGTTTCTACAGAAAAAAAAAGCTTCTCCAGCTATTAAAAATTTCAGTTAAATCTGTATGGATATTGGATTCAATCTCTTCTATCAATTAATTCCCCAGAATAAACAAATATTTTAGAGTTTGACTAAAAGTTTTTACTTCTTTCACTACAAAATTAAATGCAACCTAATTTATTAGTAAAGCTAAACGATTGAAGTTTTCAGTGGTAAACAAATGCTCTGATTGTTTTAAAACCTGCTATAACATAGAAGTATCAAGTGTATTTGAGAGAGAGGGAAAGCAAAAGAGTAAATTATATAGACAGCTTAGAACAATGGTTGTTTTCCATTCCTCATGTTCTCCATTTTATACATAGATGACTCATGAATTATAACATTAAAAGTTATTATTTAAAAACCTGAAATCCAAAAGAGCCCTTGAACTTAGGAGTGCAGTAGAAAAAAACACTAAAAATTAACCCATCTAGTATACAAAATTATGTGCACCAATGATAAGCAAGTTTTGTTTGAGCCACATAAAGAATAGGTGTATAAAACTCTTGCTCTCCAGCTACCAAGCCAATAGAAGGACAATGAAATGAGCCACTTACTAGGGCACAGACAAAGATCAAATGCTAGAGTTGTTGAACTTGAAGCTCGTTTCTGGACAAAAGAGAAACCCTTCCCTGTTCATAAAAATCAAACCAAGCAAAAATTACGAACAGCCATATTGATAATACATCACAATCCATATACATGAGACCTCGTGTTGTTTTTTTAAATAAAACTAATATACATAAACATCACATTTCATAGGAGTATTGAATGCCTCAATAAGAAAAGCTACAAAAAAAAAATAGAAAAAATAAGCGTTGACCAACTTTGCACACAACTAGCAATGTAACAAGTAGAACAAATTAGAAGCCAGGTAGCTAAACTTTTAACAGTATGTCTGAACTACTAACACTGAACCTGATGTGATTTTAGAAAGCGGAAGAAATAGCATTATATGCGTGGTAGCAAATTCACTAAGCCTAATAGAAAACATAGAAGAGAAAGCCACACTTGAAAAAAGAAAGAGACTAAAAAGAAGAAAAGACCCAAGGTTCTCTGACTGGAATGAAGCCAGAAGTCACCAACAACTACTAGAGACTTGCCTTAGGTTCTTACCACACTTTGGGCTACACAGGGGGGAGCCTTTCCCCTAGCCTCAAGAAACACTTGGTTAAAATTGCAATTACTAACCAAGGGAAATGAAACAATTTCTTCTGAGAGCACTTGTTCAGCCACCCAGTCTATGATCTGATTCCCTTTGTGTGTGTGCAAATAGGTAATTTCCATCTCCTCCTACCTTGCTATATGAAGATATTCTTGGATAAGCTAAGGATGTTCCAGGGCGGGATGATATTTGAGTTAGGCAATTAATAATCAGCTTCCATAGCCGACTCCATGTAGTTGGTATAAGGCTTAGATGATGATGAAGATTAAAAATAAGCTTCAAATCTCCTTCAAGATGAACTCTTTTGACTCCTAACTGCTTTGTCGCTTTAATTGCTTCCCATGTCAACCAAGCTTCTGCTACATAGTAGCAAGGCAGAAGAATAATGTTCCTTGGTCATTCCTTCTGACACAGCCTAAAACTGTCTGACATTATTGTGCCTTGTTATCTTGATCACATCACTTGGAGCTGGTTTCCATTTAACCCATTTATTTTTTTTTTACTTTTTATAACCAAACAGATTCTGGTAAGTGCCCATGAATTCATAGAACATGTTCAATGTAGACCTTTCCTCATCCATTGGGCTCGAATCCCAGAGCCTGGTATTTAGCCAAACCTGTTTAAAAACGGAGAGTCCCTGAAAAATGTGCATCTCATTCTCATTGCTCATTCCACAATAAAGGTATTCATCATATATTCTCATGTCACGTTCCTTTAAGAAATATTCTGATGGGATTCTTCCATTTAGAATAAGACATAAAAGCAATTTAATTTTGGGATAGCATTTCAATTTCCATATATATCGAAGTCCATTTGGAGATGAGGTGGCCATTTTCTCTAGTGTAATAGATAGTAAACAGATTTGGTCAAGAATTTACCTCCCAGATGTGTCTTATATTCACTTTTGCTTCTATAAACATGGACGTTGATGTTAACCCCTCAAAATGTCTCTCTGATTTGTTGATTCAAGGTGCTTAAAGTATTGAAAATGACCACTCTTTGAGGATGAGAGAAGTCTCCAGCTACAAAAATGTTTCTCCTGCTCCCCACTTCAATCCAACTGCACCCAGCAGGCTTCTTTAGATCTCTGTTTTTCATCAATGTTCTTACTTCTTTGACTCCATCCCATCTGGCATCTGCTGCATATATGTTTGACATCAGAACATAGTTCCCAATATTTCCAGCCTCAATATCAAAAAGACGATCTGCCACAACCCGCCCGAGCTCCACCTCATGGTGGATTCTACAGGCACCTAGCAGTGTCCCCCATATGTTTGCATTAGCTTCTACTGGTATCCTATTCACAAAGGAATAAGCATCTATTAAACGTCCTGCCCGAGCAAGAAGATCCACAACACATGCATAGTGCTCCATAGTGGGTTTGATCCCATGGACTTTGTCTATAGTCTCAAAAAGTTTCAATCCTTCATCCACAAGCCCTGCATGACTGCAAGCTGATAAGACAGCAGTGAGAATAACATGGTCTAGTTTAATACCCAACTGRAGCATCTGAGAAAAGATGCCAAGTGCCTCTTCTCCCATGCCATGCATTGCATACCCACCAATAATAGCTGTGAACATGACTAAATCCTTTTGATGGCACGATTTAAAGAGCTTGTAAGCACAGTTTATGCTTCCACATTTAGCATAGACATCCAAGAGAGCTCCATTCAAGCGAACATCTTCCAGACATGCTCTTAGCATATACCCATGGCATTGTCTCACAAGGTCAACTGAGGCCAAATGAGCACAAGCTGGAAGAAGGTTCATAACACTAACAACATCAGGTCTCATTCCTTGAGCTTGTAATTCTTTGAGCAAAATAAAAGCTTGATCTGGGCAGCCATTTTCAGCATAAACTCGTAGCATCAGATTCCAGGTGGTGAGATCCCTTTCGGACATCTTCTTAAATATTATCTCTGCATTCTCCTTGGACTGACAATTTGCATAACCTGAAATTATGACATTGCCTGTTACCACATTCCTTTTTCCTAATAAACTCTCAAAAATCTTCAATGCATACTCCATATTTCCACATTTGGCATATGCATCAATTATCATGTTTCCAACAGTCAGTTCTAGATCATTTAATAAAAGAGCAGCTCTAACTGTATAACCATGAACTTCTTTAACCTTTTCCTCACAGAAAACATTGGCAAAAACACGAAGAATGGCTAAGATAGTAATAGAATCTGGTTTTATTCCTTCCTTGAACATCTGGTGTAAGAGATTGACATGCTGGATTGCATATCCACACTCAGCATAGGCATCAAGCATTGTGTTCCATGATATAAGATCTCTCCTAGGGATTGTCAAGAACRTCCTTACTGCAGCTGCTATGTCATTGCATTTTGCATAGAAACTTACTAGGGCATTTCCTACAGCTGTATCCTTGCACAGATCAGGATGTCGGAGAACATACTCGTGGATTTTCTGTCCCTCTTGTAAATCACGTAGTTGGGCACAGACAGGAATAATGCTTATAAGAGTGATAGAGTCAGGTTCAACTGCTTCTCTTAATTGCAATTCATGAAACAATTCCAACGCTTTCTGCAATCCACCATTAGAGGCATATCCCGCAATAAGAGCATTCCACGAGACTAAATCTCTTGATTTCATCCTATGGAATATTGAATCTGCTTCTTTCAACCTCCCAATCCTTGAGTAGAAACTCAAAAGTGCATTGCAGACAGAAACATCTACCAGCAGCTCAGACCGTCGGAACACATAACAATGGATTTCCTTCCCAAAAAGGTATGCATCATTATGCCCAAGAAGAGCACATACAGGCAGGACATTTACAATCGTCGCATAATTAGGTTCATTTGGACCAGCCAACATCTGGCGGAATAATTCAAATGAATCATGGTGGAGATTATTCTCAGCATATCCTGCAATAATTGCATTCCATGAGACAACATCTTTATAAGCAATCCTTCTAAATGTGACATATGCATCATGTAGTGACCAACATTTTGCATACATTGATACGAGAGAATTTCCTACTAGTGTAGACAATTCAAATCCAGATTTAATCACATAACCATGGATACTCTTTCCAAGAAGCAAGTCTCTAGATCGAGCACATACGGGAAGGATAATAGCAATAGTAACCGTATTGGGCTTAGGTTCTTCCTCACAAACATGCATTGCATAGAACAGATCCATAGCCTCTAGGTCATGATGCCGGGATCCAGCATATCCAGATAAAAGGATGTTCCAGGTGACAGGATCACTCCTATCCATTTGATCAAACAATAGGTGGCAATCATCTAGAGTGCCACATTTCGCATACATGTTCATTAGACCCTTGGAAATAGCCTGGTTCAGTTCATACCCCAATTTAATACCATACCCATGAAAAGACTTTCCCAATTCAAAAGCTGAGATGGCAGCACAAGATTTGAGAAGGGATGCAAAAGCTTGGTGGCTAAGTCTGAATCTCCTCGAGCAATATACACTTCTATAGAAAAGTGATAGTGCATCTTCATGCCTCCCATTAATGCAGTAACTCCTAACCATGGCATCCAATGTTCTAGAATCCTGTTCCCAAATTTTGTAAAATGTATCATCTATATTACCATTTTTCTCATCAAACTTTGCGGAGTTGGTTATTGCAGATCTCCAGACAAGAAGATTTGATTGTCTTGGGTTGCTAGGAGTCCAGGTCTTCTGTGCCTGCATTGCTGTACAGAACGCTGCACACATCAAAAAGTGATATCTGTAGAATATTCCCATGGTTGACTGGACATGTGGAAACTTAAGCACATTTGACGTTTTTAATTGCAAAGAATTAAAGGAAAAAGGGTGAAACTTATATACCAAAAACCCCATCTTTACATGCCTCCCTCACCTCTCCTGTCCTCTCCAGCTCCCAATGGGGATGCTAACAGAGACTGCAATGACAACCATGCAATAGTGTACAGCAGCACTGGCAAGAGTCCCCCAGGCCATGCTATCCATATAGTCACCACTCAGTCAAAAAGAAAGTGAACAGCAGTACCAATTGTTACTGCTGTCTCCATTGTGGCTATTGTCCTTAACTTGTTAAAATTACAATGGCAAAAGGCGACTTAGTAAATATAGTCATCTCCTCTTAGTTGGTATGAGTCATGAGGATGTAATGCACACTACACTGTCCAGTCAGCTCTTTATCTCCTCCACTGGCCATTGAATTTTTCCCTATATTCTGCTCAATAGCCATCAAACTATTCAATTTAGCATGATTGGGATTTGGACTCTCTGTAAGCCTCAATCAAACATGAGAATGACTAAAAAACCAGCTAAAAGCACATGATAAAGTAAATAAATAAATAACTCATACCAAACCCACTGTCAAGGAGGGGGTTGAACGTATAACCATTGCACAAGTAGGTATACATGTTGCTATTTGAAGGTAGCTTCTGTAAGCACTGAATTGCAATGGCACTCCTTTTGCAGCAAAAATGTATGTTAAGCCTTTCTGACTCATATCTTAGGTGTGGCTTCCAATGAATTAATATCCACAAGAACTGTAGTCTAGTTGCTTAACACACAGTAAACCTACAGAAAATGATAATGTTCTACTTCAGTGAACTGAGATTAAACAGCAAAAAGATGTAAAATGTCATGAGAACCTGGAAAGTCTCATTACACTGCTTACAGAACAATATTTATCTATGATTCATGTAAAAATACACCCATATAAAAATACAAAAAAAAATACGATTCAAGGCAAAATGTTACACAGAGGCCATTTCATGGACAAAAATGCTAAAAAAACTTCAGATGACTTGGAGTATGCATGAACAGAAATTTCTTTTATCTAGTCTAGTTATTTCTAATTACACATGATTGATCGATTCTGGTTAGTTATAAATGAGTTCAGAGTCTCCTACTAACAAAATACTCACATTTATTCTTCGAATATTTACGCAGATTAATCATCAAACTACCAACAAATTGCCCCACATTAAAGTCAGCATAATTAGTACAATTCAAACAAACAACAACAAAATAAGGATCTTCCTATGCCAAACTGAAGTATATACACTAGTATAGTTTCGGAAGAATCATAAGGTGCAATGGGTTCAATTTGAGTCAGAAACTAGACCTTGGTAAAGAAATCACTATAATCACATAATAGAAACACGAATCTCCTTCATAAGAGACGAAAAAAATTAAGAAAAAACGAATGATTTGTCAAGTGAATAAACCCAATTTAAGGAGAGAGAGAGCCAAAGACGAGAAGCAGAAAAAATCAAGTGGAAAATGAAGAGATGTAGCTCGAACCTGGAAGGCTGAAACCCTAAATTCATTTGCTTAGGGCCTTATGCCCTGTTTGGCATCAATTCTGGAAATTTCTCATAATTTTTTTTTTTAGAAAAGAATGAATTCTGGATTTTCCTCATTCTGAGAAACAATGTAGACGTTTGTTACAGAACTTTGATTCTTGTTTCTTAGAATGAGAATGGCATTTGGTACCACCCTACTTCTTCAGATTAATTCTCTAAATGACAGTTACATAAAACCAATTTGTAATAATGATACCTCATTGCTTCTAATATGTTTGAAGTATTATCAAATACATGTTTACCAAAAAGTAAATATGAGGGGTGGTAATGATATAAAGTATTATCAAATACATGTTGCCTTTGCTTTCGGCAAGCTCATTTCATGGGTGGCTGCGGCTAAGGGCCTTCAAGCTTCTGTCCTCTGTTCTCAGTTGAGATCTAGGAATTTTCTTGAGTTATGATGTATTGTAGATGTTAAGTGTGTTTGGCTCCTTATCTTAGGGGCCTTGGTTGTAATCTGCCATTTCAGGCTTCTTTGAATAAAATTTTGCCTTACCTTTATCAAAAAAAAAAAAAAGAAAATGATATATTGGACCAAAACCTAGAGTTTTTTTTTTTTTTTTGAGAAGACATGAAGTATGATTTCATTAGAGAAGAAAAAGAAACCTCTGTACAACCAGAGGATGTACAACAGGGAGAAACGAAAAGAAGAATAGACCACTATCCCTTTTGTGTTTACAAAAGATTTTCAAAATCAAGAAGAGAGCTATAATTTGATTTATCCAAACGGAACTGAGCTGCTGATCAAGAGAACAGTTTGCCTACTACTTTCTGCCACACAACCTCCAAATGACTGAGAACGAAGAACAAAATGAGAGAGAGAGAGAATGGCGAGAGAAGACGAAGAAATATATGTATATATATATATATATATACGTACCTGAGAAATCGAGGTTCTTGTGCCGTGTCACTGAGTACAGGGTGATCCGTTGAGCAGACAGGGAACGAAGAAGGAAGAACGACGAAGGAATGAGAAGGGTGATCGGTTTGCACTTTCTGTGAGAAATTACTATTCTACCTCTTATCTCGCGTTTTATTTGATCATGTATTCGTTTTACTTTAAAATTCCCGATTAGTAACAGTAACCGGTTCTAGTGCCACTTTGGTCCTTTAAAATGTGAGAATTCAGTATGAAATTTTCAAAATGTGTCAATCCAGTAACTATCGTTAATTAATTCATTAATCAGTGGTTAATTGATATTTAAAAATTAAATATTTTTTACTATCATCTAATTTTCTTTATCAATCATCCACATGTTGATAAAAATTGACAGTAAAATCCTTAATTCTTTTATTCAAAAAAGTTGGGGTTACGTCTCACTGAACATTTTGGTGACCCCTACTTTCTCAAAGAGAAGAGAAACAAGGATTTGGCACTATTCATTTTTTTGTTAATGTTTGAATAATTGATAAAGAGAATTAGATGACATTCAAAATGTATGTCTTTTTAAATGGTACTTAATGGCTGGTTAACAATTAATGATGGAAGGTACTAGATTGAGTGTTTTAAAGTTTGGGGACTAAAATGRCACTAAACCCAAAGTACAAGGTACTAATATGGAATTTTCCCTACTTTTAAGACTCTGTTTGAAAAGACTGAAAAAAGTGGAAAACAAATATGTATTTTGCAAATACCAAATATCAAACATATTTGTATTTACACTTGCACAAACAAAGGAATGAAAAAATCTAGAGGCTSGGTTTGGAAAGAGTATAAATACAAATATATAGAGTACAAAAGTAAAACTTTTGTATTTATACTCCTTCCAAACTGAGCCAAAAGTAAAACTTTTAGATATCAAACAGGCCTAACACTCATCCGAAAATCCTCTTTCTATATCTAAATTTTTTTTCCACTCTTGACATATAGGCTTCTAGTCATACTTTTCTATCAAGAATTGGATTGTGTTTTGAGAGCAATGATGACCAAATGCCATCTTCATCGGAAGGATCAAGAGAATTGTCGGAATTGATCCTTTGGAGTGATGCTAAACAGGACCTAATTCATTGTTCAGTTATATAAAATTAAATAAAACCTATCAGTTCTTTAAATTTTTTAACCAAAACCAAACGACCATTTAACCAGTTGATTGGTTCATTTTTCATTTCTTTTGCATTTATATATGAGAAAATCTATGATGCCAGAAAAAACATGGTATTGAAAAAGTTTATGTCAGTTAGTCGTCCAAATTTTGTTTTGTAACACAGATCCCCTGTACTTGTGGATTACAACACTTGAGGAGTTAATTGGAATCAACATTGTGGGTTGTGTTTGATAAGAGAGTATAAATTGAATAGAAGCAAATCTGCACTCCATTTCAATCTATATGCATTAGCTAAAAATATGTTTTAGCACTAAAAGTAAAAGTATATATTTTTTAATATATTTGCATTTAAAATGGAAGCAAAATTTACTTCGAAAAAATAAAGCACACTTCTGACTCAAAATTGATTAATGTAAAAAAAAAAGTTTGATCTCAAACTTGAAATTAGTATTTATCCTGATCACAATCAGATACGTTTGGCAAATCTATACTACTTATAAAAGTGTGAATGATGAGGTATTTGCATCTGGAATTTTTCTTTACTGAAATACCCTTCCTCTTGAATTTAGTTCATCTCCATTGAAAGGGCAAATAATGTAATTAAAAGAATAGTATTAAGTACATTCAATTACCTCTCATTAAGCTTCACATTTAAGTCATTAAATAAATCACATTCTCTCTCATTGAATCTAACATTTATACTTTTCTTTATCATCATTAAATTCCACTAATAAATCCATACACAATAATTACTAATAGAATGAAATTTTATATTTTTAAAATAAACATAGAAATTAAATCATATTTTTCATCTAGATGGTGGGTAAGTAGTTAAATCATTTGGGTCAAATGGACAATTCCACGATATCATAAATAAATAATACAAATTTAGAAATATAAAAATACTTTTGTTTATCATCATTAAATTTCATTAATAAATTCATACACAATGATTATTAATAGAATGAAATTTTATATTTTTAAAATAAACCTAGAAATGAAATCATATTTTCCATCTAGGTTGTGGGTAAATACTTCAATCATTTAGGTCAAATGGATAATTTCATGTTGTCATAAATAAATAATACAAATTTAGAAATATAAAAAATATAAAAAAAAAGAAATTTTGAAAAAAATTATACACGTTTCTGTTATTATATATTTGTCATATTAAAAAATAACTATGATAAAATAGACATAATTTTATTAATGATGGACATCAAATATACAACTTAAAACCGAAGGGAAATTAAACCATCTTCTTATCTAGGGGTGGGTTATTGATTCAACCTTTCGGGTCAAATAGGTTAACTAATGATATATAATTAAAAGTAATTTTTTTAAAATAGAATAGTACAAAAAAATATGAAACAATTTTGGGCACATCTATAATATTATATACTAATAATATAAACAAAAATAAGTATGATAAATAATAATTATTTTGTCAATGACATAAATGAAATGCACAATTTAAAACCACTTTGAAAATGAAACCATCTCCATATATAGATGGTAAGTAAGTCAATGATCTAACATTCTGGGTCAAATGGGCCAATCTATGATGTCATAACTAACAAATATTAAATACATACATACATACATACATGCATACATATATATATATATATATACTCAAAGAAAAATATAAGCCTTGTATAAAGCATTTTGATACAATTATATTGTTATATATTCACCATATTAAACAAAAAAGTGAAAATAAGAATTACTTTTATCAATGATGAAAATGGAATACATGATTTAAAATCAACTGAAAAAACAAAATGGTTTTTCAATCTAAGTGGTGGGTTAGTGATTAAACTATCCAAATCAAATGGATGTTATTATTAAATAATAAAATCCATAAAATTCTAGAAAAATGTAGAAATTTGTCCATAATTTTGGATACATTCTATAATATTTTATATTAATCATATAAAAAGTTTGATTAATTAGAATTACTTTCACTAATGATAGAAGTGGGATAAAAAATAAAGAGCATTAATATCTAAGACCCGACTAACCATGTCAAATGGTTCAATAATTTAATTAGCTAGGTTATCGTATAGGCAAGTGTTTGGTAGGGATGCAAACATATCAGATCAGTATATTCAAATTTAATATGATCCAAAGATTCGACCGGATCTCATAAATATTGATTTTAATCCGAATTCGATCAAGATGTCAGATATTCGTATCTGATACAATCCGATTTAATTTTTTAAAAAAGTAATAAATTATTAAATGAAAAAGGAAAAATGTAATAGTTAAAATAAAAAACAAAAAATATAAGTATTTTTTCAACTATTTCCATCATATAAAAAGTTTACAAAAATGTAATATAAATAACATATTTATAAATAAGTTATAAATAACATATATATTATATATAAATAATATAAATACTATATATATAAAAAATTGGTTTGACCACAATATTAAAAACCAATGTTCAAACAATATATTAGAATTGCATTTTCTCTTGGTAAATAAGTAATTTTTATTATCTCATAAATTAAATAATAAAAAATAAAAATATAGAATTTTTTATAAATTTTATAAAAAAATTTGAACATACATTAATATTATATATTCTTCATATTAAACAAAAATATGTTTGAAAAAATGAGAATTATTATTAGTAAAGATAGAAATGGCTAAAATACAAAGAAAAAAAAATGAATTAACGTCTTAAACATACTCCATTTTCCTGGTTAAATAGGTTAACGGTTCAACCAGTAAGGTCTTTTGGTTACTAATTATTATCATCATCATCATTTGATAATGCCACTTTCAAAAATAAATGTGAAAATAAGATTTACTTTTATTGATGATGAAAATGTAATACATGACTTATAATCAACCGAAAAAGAATAAATGGTTTTTCCATCCAAGTGGTGGGTTAGTGATTCAACTATCCATGTCAAATGGATCAAGACATGATGTTATTATTAAAAAATAAAATACATAAAGTTCTAGAAAATGTAGAAATTTGTAGATAATTTTGAGTACATTCTATAATATTTATATTCATCATATAAAAAAGTGTAATTAATGAGATTTATTTTCATTAATAATAGAAATGGGATAATAATTAGGATAAAAAATAAAGAGCATTAATGTCTAACACATGACCCCACTAGCCATGTCAAATGGTTCAATGATTTAATTATATAGGCCATTGTAGGCAAGTGGTTTGGTAGGGATGAAAACAGATCAAATCTGATTTGAATTAAGGTATATTCGAATTCGATTCGATCCAAAGGTCTGATCGGATCTCATAAACATTGATTCAAATCTAAATCCGATCAAGATGTTGGATATTCGAATCTGATACAATTCAATTTAACTTAAAAAATAATAAATTATTAAAAGGAAAAGAAAATATAATAATTAAAATAAAGAAAAAAAATTATTTTTTCAACTATTTTCATCATATAAGAAGTTTACAAAAATGCAATATAAATAACATATATTATATATAAATGATATATATATATATAAATAATTTATTTGACTACAATATTAAAAACCAATATTCAAACAATATATTGGAATTGCATTTTCTCTTGGTAAATAAGTAATTTTTATTCTCATAAATTAAATAATAATTAATAATAAATAAAAATATATATTTTTTTATAAATTTTATAGAAAAATTTGAACATGCATTAATATTATATATTCTTTAAATCAAAACAAAAATATGTTTGAAAAATAAGAATTATTGTTAGTAAAGATAGAAATGGCTAAAATACAAATAAAAAAAATGAATTAATGTCTTAACCGTAGTCCATTTTCCTGGTTAAATAGGTTAATGGTTCAACTAGTAAGGTCATTTGATTGCTGACTATTATTATCATCATCATTTGATATTGCCACGTGCAACACACGTACACTTTTACTAGTATATAAAATATATCAATGCAAAATCAAAAGGAAGTTTGCATTTTCATAAATTGAACATATTTGCATTTGCACTACTACAAAAAAGCAAGTGAAATTATCAAATTATTCATTTGAAAATTTATGGGCTTACAGTAGAAAATATATATATATATATATAAGAACTTCATTCCAAATCATAGTTAGCTTGTTAAAAGTGTTAATGATGAGCATTCAACAACACTTCCTTAAAGGGCATGAATTACCACCAACCTGTGTTGAGAGACACTTATGCCCTACCTTTTCTWTCAAACCAAACACAGCCTTAAGATAAATAAGAATTTGGGAAAATCTATGATGCGGGAAAGATATGATATGGGAAGAGTTCTGACCAATCAAAACCTACCCATGAATTTTGATAAATAACACCTTATCTGCTACCACATTTATGATTCTAGTTTATTGATCAGTTGTTTTTGGGATATCATATCTTTTCCATATCATAGTCGAACCCTTTTGGTTTTACAATAATTGGGGGTGTTTTATGAGTTTACATATGCCCCCCACCCCAAAAACACCCCACGTGCACACCTCAGTATGCATTGAGAACATCTCCCGTACTTGTCATTGAGAGATGATACCAATACAAGATTGGGATGTGCTGTGGGACATTTTTGAGGCACTTTGGGGGCAGATGTGAATTCATGTTTGATATGTTCTTGCTGACATGGTGGGTTATTCTTGTTTAAAAAAACGAAATCATTCACATTTATAAACACCCTTTTTCTTTGCACCAAGGGGCTACACAACAGGGATAGCCCATCACCCAAACCCAATACATCATCACACCCCAACCCAGGTGCAGGCAGGATTCGATCCCAACTCACGGAATTGAACCAGTAGGAGCAAAGTGGTGGAACCAAAAAAATGTAAGTGTTATTTGTCACAAAACAAAGTTCAGAGGACCAAATGTCATGACCCCAAAGTATAGAGTGGGTGTGGGTGTCTGTAATCTACCCTTCACTTTTCTTTATCAAGGAGAAAAGAAAAAGGAAGTATGAAAAATGCCCACAAGTCATGCCTTAATTACAAAAAACTCATTTTCTTATGCAAATTACTTCCAATTCCGATGGAGGGCCACCCCATAGCACATCCCCGCCGTGTATTGGGAACATCTCATCGATTCTAATACTATTATCSGAAGATATTTCCAATACACCGTGGGGATGTGATATGGGACGTTGTGGGGCGGAGATGTGTACGGGCTAAAATCTTAGCTGGTTAATTAATAAAAACAGCCATAACGCAATCATTAAGGTCACTTAATAGGGACTCATGACTAAGGGGTCTTGACAATATGAAAGGTTATGCTTTTCAAAACGGAAACAATTGGAACCAGCAAAATCATATTGATGGTTTTTGGTATTGAAATTGTTTTTTTAAGGCGTTTCTGTCATGTCAATGCCATATAGGCATTTTGTTCTTTTCCTCATTTTTTCTTATTTGATTGAACATTTGTAAGTCATTTCAAACAATATTAAATGCTTAAATTTTTTATTTTTGGAGAAATTGTTAATTTGACATTTCTTGCAATAGAAACAATGTTTTTGCACCAAATTACAATACAAAATAGGCACAAAACCTATAGTTATTTTGTCTTAGAAAACAACAACGATACCAAAATGTAGTTGTTTTTGTTTTGGAAAACAAAATCATTCTTATAGTACAAAAAGGAAAAAACAATCCAAAAACAGAAACAATAAGAAAAAGAAAGAGAAACTACACAAGCCTAAGGCTCTTCACCTTGTAAAGGTCTCAATGAATCCCTATATCAAAACTAAAACCACTTTTGGCCTAATCTGGCTAGTCAATCAGATGTGAAATTGCCTTCTGTACACGTATGTGAATAGCATTTGCTACAATGACTCTCATTCTCTAAAGAGCAATATTTCAGCTCAATCCATATCATACTAAGGCCATGTTTGAGAGTGCTTATGTTAAAAATAATTGCTTAAAAATAAGTGTTTATTTAAATAAGCATTTATGTGCATTTGGCACCTAACTTTTTCAAGTTCTTATTTTAAAAATAAGCACTTGTTTCATATTGGTCATTTGGTAGTCTTTCTCCGATAAGCATTTAAATAAGCATTTGTGAYTATTTTGTACTTTATTTTCTTTCTAATTTTCAAAATATGCCCTTACGAAAATACTTTTATAAAAAAACACTTTTATGAAAATACTTTACACAAAAGCATTTTTACAAAAATATATTTATAAAAATACTTTTATACAAAAAACACTTCAATAAAAACACTTTTACGAATACACTTTTATAAAAGCACTTTTACGAAAGAAAAAACAATTCCCATGTTAAGCAAAAAGAATACATATGTGCTGATGTTACAGTTGTTTTTGTTTTAGAAAACAAAACCATTCACATTGGCAAATATCCGCATAATCTATTTCTATGATCATGCACTTGAATATACATGTAAAGACATTAAACGCCCCCAAGAATTACATAAGTTGAGCTCAAATCTCTATTTCTAAATACTTTATCAATCATGCTATCCCAAATAACCCATAAATTGTTCCACCATGTGATGTGAGAATGTCATTGTCCTCATTAATTGGTTTAATAGTTACCCATATATAGATAGAACACCTGTTTTTACTCTAGGGCAGGTCTAAGAAAACGTGGTTTGATGTCTCTTCACTGTAAAAAGGGCAGTCCAAATCTCCTGTTGTCTCTACCAAATGGGAATTTATCGTTGAGACTTGAAAAGAAGATGAAGGTTTTAATTTTCCAAATCTTCCTTGTAGCCTTATTTATATTCTTTTCCTCGTTAGTTGTTTATCGAGGGATAGTTCAAACTTATGGAGCCGTATCCCGTATGCTAATAAGTACGTATCAAACATGAAGATACAAGAACAGGTATCGAATTGGGGTGAATCCATATTCAATTTTACAATCGGATCAAACCAAGGTTCTAAAATTCGATACGCGTGTATCAGGCAGTATCAAGGGAGCTAGTTGAAGGTTCCTCCACCCCTGAACCAGTCAGAACCCCGATATGATATGTATTGACAGGCCGATACGTGTCAATTTTTGAACCTTGGATCGAGCATACCAATACCGTTTGCAGCTCTAATTTATTATGGTTGCTCAGGTTCATCATTCATTGTCCAAATAATCAAGACCTTTACCATCCAATGGTGCAGATTAACTGGACACGAACAACGTGAGCATAGTCGATAATTGATAATTTGACTTCAAGCTATGAACAAGTAAATATATAATTGTCAACACCAACACCATGTAAGCTGTCTCTGCTTGGAATTCAACTAGTGAACATATAATTTGGGATTAATCTACATAAAGTTTTTCGTGAAGTTTGTAAAGTCTTAATTCAAATTCATTGCATCTTAAAGAGTTCATTTGCTCTTCAAATCACATGAATTTGAGGAATAATGTAAGGTTTTTTGAGTGTCACAACAACAATTAAGCAGAAGGGCTGGAACACAAAGAAACCCTTTTTCCAACCCAATTGCTCATAAATCAAGTCTATCAATTCCAAATCAGCTTTCTGTCATAATCAAAAGCTGATGGAACAATCAATGGTTAATTGGACTTGAACCCATTAACTACAGGGGAAGCTCCTCTGATTCTTTTCACGTAGGAGACATAGTCACTGTAGTGCATAGTGTAGATCGTGCTCTGATAACGAGTCAGGGAAATCCGCTTACGGAGCGATTCGTTGATGGTACCATTATAACCTGCTTTGCGCATCAACGAGTCAATTGTCTCCATCTTTGTCCAGCCTGAAACCAAAATGTAAAGAAAACTTGTAACAACAAATTTGATCGGACTAAAACAATCAAATTTTGGGTTTCAAATGGACATAAGGATCATATTCACTAAAAGGCTTACATGCTAGGAAACACAGGAAAAAGTGGAAAAGAAGAAGAAAGAAACAATAAGAAAATAGTGTAAAAGGAAAGGAAAAGGGAAAAACAAATAAAATAGTGCATTCTCCAAAAAATTATTAATGGTTTCAGTTAAATATGAAAACAACTTCTGTTTGATTCTTTATATAAGAACTTAAGTCTTCCCATTGTTCTAGTCAAGAGGTGAAGCTCTAAAGGAAGGATGAAGCAATTCTTTTATCCATTTGGAGAGACAATGTACTTGCGGTTACTTTTTCCTTTTTCTTTCATTTCTGCACTTCTATGACTTGACCATTACATGATAAATAATCTAAATTGAGACAAGAAAATTCAACCAAACATAAACATACCTTCATGGGCAGCCACCTCGGGTAAGTATGTTGCACTTCGCCTCACATTGTAGTCAGGATCAGTGAACTCAATAATTATACCATGTGTGCCTATCTGCATTAAGCAAACTTCTAATGCCAGAATGAGAAAAATCAACAAGCTAAGGTTATGTTTGGTTTGAAGGATCAGTGAACTCAATAGCTTAAATGTTCATTGTAGAATTAATTCGTGTGAAATTAGCTGAGTAAAATATGAAATCAGCATCCAAAACACAATTACTTGGTATATATATATATATATTTCCATGTCATTGGCCATGAGAATAGAATACATTCAATCCATTTCTGTTGATAACATACAATCATGTGAAGCTGGAAGAGAACTAAGATCAATATGATGCCCAATCCTGTCCTAACTGGTCTAACCTTTCTCACTTTCAGAGGGACCAGTATGCTCTACCAGGACTCTTGGGCCACAAATTGCTTCATTTTGATGATCCTGACCCTACGCAACCAGATACTAGAGTGCAGTGGAACACAGAATGGAACCAAATATCTGGGACACAGAATTTGATAAGCTCCATAGTCACACAGACACATATAGTGCAGCCACATGAGAGAAAGGGGGATGGGGATATGGTCAAGGGGATCCAAGTACCAAAGATGTTGGAGCCGGTGCTTCCCCAATGGTCTCAGGCACCAAGTTCTCACCATAATAATTAAGGCTATTTTAGTCTTCCATATATAAAATAAATGCAATAGATTAGGTGGTTAGGATCACCACTATTGCATATTTAACATAGGAGATTTGGTTGGTAAGACCCTGCATGTGGTGGTTCCATTGTTAACTATATGAAATACAGTTGGTACAATGCAGAGAAATCCTAACCCAAGTACTCCTAAATTGAATCAAAAGTGAAAAGAAAGATGCAGACCTCCCAATCAAGATAGTTGAGAGCATTTTCATAGTTTGTCAAAATGGAAACTGTACATTCCAGGTAAGGCAATTCTTTAGCCTGTATTGGGGGGAACCGGCGGTCTCTTAGAGCACTGCAACATATGAAATATTAACCACCCATAAGCTGCAGTTCAGAAGCAAGATAATGCAACCCTAAAGACTTAATTGGTAGAACAGAGATTTTGTCAGTCCATATACATATGAAGCATGCAACATAAGAAAAGTACTAATTTGCACACACACACACAGGGTACATGTTCTATGCTCAGGTATTTCATTCGATTATACTTTTATTTAATACGTAAGCTAGAGTTTCATTTTTCTTTAGTAGAAATTAAGAGAGTAAGAGTTGGACGTAGAGGTAAATAAAAATTAAAATGCGTTCAAAATAAAGGGTAGCCACAAAGAACTATTTGATCTTATCCACAAACTTGGAAAAATAATGGGTTCAATGGTTGGAGAAATATAACTCATAAGGAGGTGTTCAACAACATGGTTGGTTTTGTTTTTGAAAACAAAAACAACTGCCACATTAGTAAATTTGTATTGTTTTTTTCTGGCATGGCAGTTGTTTATGTTCTCAAAAACAAAACCAAGTTATCGAACATCCCCCAAGTCTTTACATGCATCTGAATCATAATGTATACCCAAACATAGCTGTCAAGGAATCACCTTGGTGAAAAGGTACCCTTGGTGGAGCACCTCATCCAATGCTTTGACTTTTAAAAGAAGGGCACTTATCTAAATGACAAATATCACAAGGTGAGCACCTTACTGTAATATTATAACCATCGCTCATAGGTGATGGATTTTTAAATCACAAGGCAACAAGATTTCCTTGCCTAAGAACCTAGTTGTTTTTGTTCAAGGTGTCATATAAAATCTTTATATTTTTTATTTTAGAAAATTAAGTATTACAATAGACATTATTACACTAAGTTATTCATTTTGTGGTTTTATATTTTCAGAATTTATATACTAGTTTCTTTTTATTATTTTTTATTTGTTAGGGCTAGGTCAATACATAAGTCAATGGATACTGGGTTAAACCCTCGAACAAGAAAATATTATTTTCTTATTTTCTTTTTCCTTTCCAAGGATAAAAACAAGGGCTCAACCCCTATATTTTCTGAGGTTTCTTTTCTTTCTTTATTTGATGAACATTGTTAGTAACAATTAGTGAAATATGATTGCTGTTTGCTATGAAACCTAAGGAATTACCCTAGGATATGTGTTTTTCATTTAAAAATTCATCACCTAGGTTGTAAGGYGCTCCCTTGAAAACCATGATATGGCTACAACTTGCTGCTAAGTGTTAATACATTGTAGCATATACTATGTATATAGTTTAACAATGGATATTGCACAAAACACAACAGAATGGAAAAACAGGATTCATGTAGCTGATCCCATATAGTTGGAACAAGGCTTAGATGATGATGATGATGACAATGATCATATACTATGTATATAACTTATGCTCTGTTTAAAGGTTTTATCATTAACAAATAAAAAATCTAAGGGTTTCAAGAAGAGAAAAGACAATGAAAGGATAAAGAGTTATCTTCTTTAGTTGCTAATATTTTTTTACAAGAAACTTCTCTAAAAAAGGCCATCACCAATGTTGGTCCTAGCTATCTAGGGTTTTGAGAGGGGTGGACTACCTAATTAATCTTTGGCACTTTTTTACATGAAGTGAATTGATATAAAAAGCTATTATCTATTAGATATGATGACTTGCCATGTTTTGAGAGGAAAATTAAATGTTGACAAAGAGAATTGTTTTTTTTTTTCAATTATATGAGTGCCGATTGATATGTACAAATGAGGAATAGAATTTAGTTTTCTTTGTAAGATTCCATCACCAAGATGACAAAGTACTCCATTAATACCTAGAATCACCTATTCGCCTTGAAAACTATACTGATGAAGTAAGGCTCACATAAAACAAAATGAACTAATGTCAGTAACAGCAGAAACAAGAACATGTGTTATCATTTGCAGAAAAAGAGGCCTAACTGGTATTTGCAACTGCAAATTTGCTTCCTGTATGAGGCAAGTAGAGAATCCACTTTCCATCTACTAATTTTCTTTCCTTACAGATCCAGTCATCCAGTATTTGGAAGTGCTTTCTAGCTCTTTTTGGTGGTAGATAGTCACTACTAGGAAACGTGCATAGCCTCTGCTTGACATCATTTTTCAACTGTCCAAGAGAGAGAGGGTAAGATCGTCTGGAAATGCACCAAGACTGCCTCTCTTTGGTCCATTTGGGAAGAGAAGGAAGCAGAGATATTCAAGGGGAAGGCACTATATAAGGAAGCAACCATAGAGAATTTTACAATAAGAGTGGCACATTGGATGTAAATCAAGTCCAAAACGAGTTGTGCAATCCTCATCCATGACAAACAGTCCAAAAGGAGTGGGTACCGCCAGTTGTAAATCAAGTAAAGTTTAATTTTGATGGGTGCTGCTTGCGTAACCCAGGCAATTCAGGCATCGGAAGTGTATCTAGGGATTAACTTAGGCTGTATTAGCAATATATTCAGGTCCCATAGGGATTGAGGACTCCAGAAAAGCAGAATTGATGGATGTTCTACAAGGATAAGGTTAAGAGACTAAATATAAGTAGACTAGAGGTGAAAGAAGAACTATGACAGGATGGTTAAATAAGAATAGTCAAGGAACATGGCAACAGAGGCAAACTTCAAGCAAAATTAAGCAATTGGTAAGGGACTTATAAGTGTCAACCAAATGGTGAACCCATCAGCCAACTACTGGTTAGTCTTAACAAAAGGAAGTCATACATCTCCTGCAATAATTCTTTCCCACATGAAGTGTTGGTTAACCTCTATATGGTATGCCTATCAAATTGTATTAGATTGTGAGCAATACTGATTGCTGCTTGATTATTACAAAACAGCAAGGATGGCTTCTGCACCAGTATTCTATGTGCCATGGCTCTTGTTTTGCCTCTACACTCACCTAGGCAATAATTGATTAATTCTTACTTTTCTAGGATACCAAATCTTTGCCAACAAAAGCATAGAATCCTTAAGTCAACCTTCTATCATCCAATAACCTAGTCCAATCTACATCTACATAAACCTCCACCTTCATTGCTGTGAATATGAGACCCCTCTCCCACGATTCCCTTTTAAGTAAGACAGAATCCTCTTTGCAGCTGCTAAATGTGGACTCCAAGGAGCATGCAACACTTAATGCATAGGCAATACCTGGTCACGTCATACATAGATAACGAAGTCTTTAGTACATATCTTGATCCTCCAAGAACTACCCCTCTGTAGCAGGGTTGCAACTTAGGCTGGCTCAGGTTGGGCTTTTGTCAAAATTTGAATGGGCCCTGCCCAAAGGCCCAAGCCCAAAATAGTGTAAAATGCTAACTTAGGTTGGCCCAAGTTGCACCCCCTACTCTGTAGCACAAATCTTGTGGCCTAGAACTATAGGGGTATCAGCTAGTTTTACCCTTTAACTTCCCTGTGACTCTAAGAAAATACAGCACATACTTCCATTGTGATATGAACACACCATATCTAGAACGAGCCACCTCTATGCCAAAAACATTTTGAGACAAGAAATGAGAATCTACAATAAGAATAATAATCAAATCCCCCTTTCTTTTGATAAATAGAGTATGATCTAACTGTGACCGCAGAAAGTCAATCCTCTATAAAGTAATGTTTCTAAAACTGAACTGGAAACAGAACTGATTTTCCCTCTGCATGGCGGGTCAATGGTTTACCATCCAGGTCAAACAGAAACCATGAGATATAATAAAATATTAGAAAATAGAAAAATAGATAAAATGCAGAAAACATGGAAAGCTGCAGATTTTTTTGCAAAAAAAAAAAAAAAGAAAAGAAATTGGATACACCTAAAAACACACAAAAACAAAGAAGGAAATGCCTAAAATGCAAAAAAAAGGTAGGAAAAAAACAGATATTTGAAGGAAAAAATTAAGCATGCCTCTATCTAATGTTATGTATTGATTACATTGCTTAACAAAATCAAGCATAAGAATTAAGAAGTATGAACTATTGTTATATATGATGACAATGGCTAAAATTGCAGAAAATGTAGAAAGAAAGAAGAAAAAATGGATGTGCAAGAAACTACAGAGAAGATGTAGGCTTCAGGGTGTCTTCATTAAATGTCCCCTCTATTTCTCATTCCACGAGAAACAACAATGGTGGCATCTAGGTTGTCCCATTTCTGCCTGGCCCTTACAGTATTTAGGCCTACCTCTAGGAGCCAACCCTAAGGAGAGCACCTTTTGGGCCCAGGTTCTGGAAAAGTTTGAGAAAAGATTAGCTTTGTGGAAGAGGAATTATATTTCTTTAGGGGGTAGAGTAACATTACTGAGAGCTTCCCTAGCAAATCTGTCGATCTATTACTTCTCTGTTTTTAGGATTACTGTTAGGGAGGCCAAGAAGTTGGAGAGATTAATGAGAAATTTTCTTTGGGAGCTAGGGAGAAAAAAAGGATCATCTAATAAATTGGGGAATATTTTGCATGAGGAAAGAGGAGGGTGGGATAGGTCTAGGAATTTAGTTTTAAAGAATAAAGCTCTCTTAGGAAAATGGTTGTGGAGGTGGCCTATAGAACGGGAGAGGTTGTGGCATGAGGTGATAGATAGTATACATGGCAGTTTGGGAAATGGATGGGATGTTGGTGTATCACATCGAGCCACGTTTGCAACTCCTTGGAAAGCAATTCAGAGTATGCTCCCTCAATTCATCAATTTTGTCAGGTATGATGTCAACTCTGGTCTTTCTGTTTTGTTTTGGGAAGACATTTGGGTGGGCAATTCTGCTCTTAAGGACATTTTTCCCTCTCTATTCCCTTTCTCTCTAGTCTCTACAAGGAAAAAGCTATCTCTCACTTTCTTCCAACACATGTTTCCCCATCCTCTCTGAATTGAGACTTTGGGTTTCGTAGGGGCTTGAGGGATCATGAACTCTCTTGTGTTCCAGACCTTTTGTCACTTCTTGAAAGTGTTTTTCTGGACCCCCTCAGATCTGATGTGAGATTATGGTCCCCTCATCCAAAAGGTTACTTCACATGTGCCTCTTTCTTTTAAGTCCCTTTGTTCTTATCTGGTCTAGACCAGTACCTCCTAAAATCATTATTTTCTGTTGGGAGGTGTTCTATAGGAAGATAAACACTTTGGACTGCTAGTAGAAGAGAAGGCCTTCCATGTGTTTGTCTCCAAACTTGTACTTTGCAGGGCTAATGATGAGGATTGCTCCCACTTACTTTTAACATGTTCTTTTTCTGTTGCTATTTGAGGTTGGATCTTTGCCTTGTTTGGGTGCAAGTGGAAATTTTTTTTTTTTTTTTTGATCAATAACACAAGTGGAATTTTTTTTGATCAAGTGGAATTTGACTACAGCCGTAGATCAGCTCTTTGACCCTTCCTTTGTGTGGCCCACAAAAACTGGTAAAACAATGTGGAGGTGCATTAGAGCTGCTGCTTTGTGGACAATTTGGAAAGAAAGAAATGTGAGGCTATTCCAAGAGAATGAGAGAAATATTCAGACTGTAAAGGATTGTATTTTGACTAGGGCAATCCATTGGCTGAGATCTTTGGACTCCTTTCACACATTCTCTTTTGATGACATTTGGAGGAACTGGACAGTTGTGACTAGTAGCAGTACCATGAAGAACAGGGTACCAGCTATGTGGGTGCCTCCTTCCGAAGGTTGGACAAAGTTGAATTTTGATGGTAGCAACCAAGGCAACCCAGGTCCTTCAGGGACAGGAGGGGTGATGAGAGATAAAGACAGCAATATTTTAGCCTTATTCTCAGGCCCCGTGGGTATAGGAGATTCTATTAGAGCTGAGCTTCTAGCGGTGGTACAAGGTATCCAGATTGCAGACCAGTTAGGAGTTCAGAATCTGCTTATTGAAGGAGATTCCAAAGTTGTTGTGGGTTGGCTAACAAATCTAGGTTCAGTTATTTGGTGCTACAGGGAACTTCTAAAGAAAGTTAATTGGTTTTCAAGGAACATGACTTTTACTTCTCAGTGGGTGAGTAGAATAGCTAATAGCGGATGGGTTAGCTAAGCAAGGGGCCTCAAGGGAACATTTATTTTGGGCACCTCTGTAAATTTTCATTATCTAATCTGATGCAATACAATGTTGTCGTTTAGGAGAGGTACCAGCTCGTGCCTCTCCTTGGGCAGCCTGTATTGTCTTATCATATTGATCTTTCTTGAATAAAATTTTATTTATCAAAAAAAAAAAAAACAATGGTGGCATCGCTGTGCTTCATTTGCAGCTTTGTACCTCTAGGAAACACCCAATAGGCACCTTGGTTTCAGAGGAGTAAAATATTTTGGAGAAGTACAATTTTTTTTCTTCAAACAGGTAATGTAAAAACTTTCATTAAACAACCACCAGAAATTACAACCAGCCCATGTACACTAAGGCTGGGAGACAACACTGTGCCCCAAAACATTGCAAGGCCAGAGTCCATAGACAGTGAGCAAAACTACAATGGATAAACAGATGGTTTGTACATTCTACACTTTCACTGCAAAAGGGGCACAGATAATCTTCCAATAACACTCCCCTCCTCACCAACTGATCTTTTGTTAAGCACCTTCCCAGTGATACAGTCCAAACCAAGAAAGCCACCTTTGATGGGATGCAATTTTGGAGAAATACAATAGGATAAGGAGGGACTTTGATGCTTTTGCATCCTCTAGCTTTCTCCAAACTAATTGTGATAGCAGGGCTGTTTCCTTTAACTTGAAAATGCAAGGAAAATGAGGGTAAGAAGGAGAACATATTTGATTTGGTATTTGGGGTTCACAAGGGTGAATAAATCTAGGACTTTTCAGAATCAGAGACAGTTCTGTGATCTGAAATTATGAAGAGGAAGGAGACTTTCCAGGCTCTACAGGTTCACAGCTTCAAAGGAGTGGGGAAATCAGAGAATGAGAGTTCAAGGATTGGAGGTTTTGAGATACGAGAGATTGTATGGGCTCAACACTTTATGAAAGCCATCTAGTTCCATTCACTACGACAGAGAGCAAGAGATCAGTGAGCCATTGTAAGCACTTAGCTCTTGGGAAGAGAAGAACGAAAAAGGAATCTGAAAGCAAGATGTGAATTAGGTTTTCTCTTTTAGACTTTTTACTTTTTAGCAGTTGAGACTTGGATTGAGTTTTTTTAAGAAATTATTTTTCTGATTAAAAATATGTTTACTGTTTAACTCAGAATCAGCTGTCTGGGTTGAACAGTTCAGTGCTTCAAGCAGCCGGGCCACTGGGTGGCTGACTAAGTAAACAGGATTTTAGGTTATAGCTGTTCAAAGGAAAATTGGAAACAGAATTTTGGTAGAGTGATGGGTTACCCAGTCAACCATCTTGGTCAACAACAGGTTGAAAAAAATTGCTACAAAGCACTCCTAAATTTGTCAAACAAAGACAGGGGAACGAGGTGGCAACATCATATATACCTCCTCATATCTCCATTCAAGAAGACATTTTCTATCAGATTTTTGGTTTTTGCATGGTCTGCAATGACCCTTGATCTTTCTTGAATTAAATTCCAAGGTCGTGTTCATTCATAATAGCTTTCAAACAAGCAATACGTAGATGTTATTGATTGGCTACCTTGACAAGTAAGGAAACAGATCAAAGTCTCCCTCCTCTATATGAAACGGGTTTCCACCTCTTAGCTCTTTACCAAAAATTGCCTGCAAAGGCTCCCATCAAGTAGAATAGAGAAAAATGATCAAAGTTTAAGCAACCTGTGTTCATCCGGTTCAAGAAAAATGGCTTCAATTTTAATTGGTCACGTGAGCATTGCCCTTCTTGGTTTCCTTAAATTTAATTGGTTTCAATTCTAGATGCAGCTTCTGTCCTTGGTAATGCTTTGTTTTCTTACAATAATCACACACCACATCATCACCTTCAACCACCTTAATACCTTTAACTCAAATAAGGTTTAGTGGATACCATAGCAGAGTAGCCAGGTGTATGAGTATGCACCATAGTGACCCTCCAGTTCTCTTCCCCTTAGGAAAGGGAATATGCAGTTGAAATTCTACCAAAACCAGATGATGTCATGTAAAGTCATACTCAAGGTTCAACCTGACCAAGAACTCGAACACCTTGTGCTTCTCTATATGTTACCTGTACTAGTCACCATCAAGAGGATCCTTCCACCCACAAGCCTCCAAGTGATCTAACTCTTCCTATAGAGACTAAAGAGAAGAAAAATTATCACCACAAACATCTCCCCTGTCAAATATCATTGACTGACCTACATAATTGACATTCCTTGGTAGTATTTTTAAGCTTGTAGAAATAACCCAATCCTAGATGTCCTTAGCTGTAGATATAAACATGCAGTTCCTTGCAGAATGAGGTTACATGTAACTAACCATCCAAGACATGACCATCTCATCTTTGTAAGTTAAGAGTTGAACCAATCTAGGAATTGCTGCCATCAAGTTTTATTTTTGTAACTTGGATATGTGGATTATCAGAAGCTTGAAAATAACATCTAAAGCCAGCTATGTTGTATAGAGTGTTGGGCAGTCAAGAAACAACATGTTCAGAAAATGAGTGTGGTCGAAATGTGGATAAATGAAAAACTAGAAAGGATAGGATAAGGAATTAAGCCTTCCGTAAATACCAGGGTGTAGCTCCAATAAGCGATAAAATGAGAGAGAGTAGGCTAAGATGGTTTGGTCATATGCATAGAAGACCACCGACAGCTCCAATTAGAATAAGTGATTTGTTACAAGTAGAAGGGGCTATAAGAGCTAGGGGTAGACCAAAACGGACATGGGTAGAAGTAGTAAGATCATAATGAGGCAAGATTCCACCCCCCCAGAAAAAAAAAATAGAAAATTCCAAATTTTGAAGGAACCAAAATCTTCTTTTTTTCTGAGAAAAGGTGAAGTATATTGTATTGTATTGACATAAAAGGATGAACCCAGTACAGAGAGTGGCCATACAACCATAGAGCATGTATAAAACAGAAACAATCCATTAGAAGTTGCTAAAGCTTGTCAATACAAATATGATCTAGGGAACTTCTTTTAAAGAATTATATGGTTCCTTTCTTTCAAAATGCACCAGAATTTTGGATTACATAAAAGCATTCCTAAACAACACAAGACGTGACTAATACCACCACTAATCAAGGAGGGAAGAGCCCAATGACTGTTGAAAATCAAAAAATAAAATTTTAAAAGCAGTGGGGGGACAAAAGATCGCTCTCCCATAATGCCATTAAACTTTTAGAATATGAATTCAACATAAATAATGTTTGTTCAAACTACATGTCCTTTTCAACATAACGTATGCATTTGAAGTACCTGGTTAAAGCATAGTCCCTAAACCCATTTATCAAGTAACGAGCTTCCAGAGTTCCAATGCATCCACGTAGACGAGGCTCCCCACCATTCACCACTTTCTTCCAGGTGACGAACAGTGGGCTGAAATAAGGAAACTCCATATGTCACATTGTCACATGGGGAAAATATACCTGAACAAAGTTCTAACATCCAATATAAACCTTATCAAATCATGGGCATACAAAATGTAATATAAGGAAGTTTATGCAAGATGAAGATACAATTCCATGAGATCACATAAAACATCCAAGCAAAGAGAATTTAGCACCAAGTAACAACAGAAATTAATCAATCGTCAAAACCAGGGAAATTGAATTAGTATAAACCAAATCATACAAGACCAATTAGGTGTATCCAATTTAGGAGGGAATAATCTAGTTCAGTTTTGGTTCGAGTTTTTTGCTTTCTTCCTTTTTCTCCCCTTTTTATTTGCTTTCGCCAAAACTGGATATCTTCAACAACTCTGCGCCTTAACAATGTCACTAACCACTACCACATAAGTATTTTGTAAATAACGAATTTAAGAAAAAATGTAAATGGACAAGAAACTATACTGAGAAGATGAATACATGAAAAGCATAACAAAGAGAATGAAATGTCAAGAAATCATTATAAATTACCAATGGAGCCGAAGTACACCCCCCCCCTCCCCCCAACAAACAAAACGACAAAGAAGAAAATTTTCATGTAATTAATATCTAATATCTATAACACAGGTCAAAACATCAAATATGCAAATAAATTGGACAAAAGAAAAACCTATAGCCAAAGTTGGTAAATAGAGCGATTAAACGAACAGCGCTTTCCTCTCTTCTTCTTGTTATTTCAATTTTCTTTATGTTTTATGTTTTTCGTGTTTTGGGTGTTCAAACACCAAAATAATTAATGGTACTCAACTAAACAAACCTATTAACCCAGAAAATTGAATAGAACCTGCGAAATTTGCAAATTTGAAGGGCGAATATGCCTTCATCAACCAACAACTAAATCTAGAATTAGGAAAAAAAATCGGAACATCGAAAACATACTGTTGCCCTTCATCAAAGGCAGGTGGAGGAACCTCTTCACTATTGTAATGAGCTACAAGCGTGTCAAAGCAGTAAACCACCATTTCCCGATTCGCAGACACCATTTTCAATAAGAAAAAAGTCCAGAAAATCTACAAAATACAGTCTGATCAGAGCTCCAGAAGAGGATATATGGATAGTCGACGTGAGTCAAGAATTTTGGACGTTCAACTCTTCCAGAATCTAAATAGCATGAAAAAGAAAATTAAGATTCCTGAAGCTCTGCATGCCAGATGATGGAGAACCTTGGAAAAGAGAAGAGAAGCTAAATAAGCTCTCCTCGCCTCTTTCTTCCTCCGACTATACGGCTCATCTGAAATAAAATATTTGACTTTGTTCCCAAATTACCCCTACTTTCATAAGAAACACCGATATATCAGTAGACAGTAGTTCAGGCAATATTTCCGGGGCAATCAAAATGACAAAATTGGCCCCAAGAAGTTTGTGAATGGCTGAACGTTGAAACAGAAAGACAATTTTTGTTTGGGAAAAAACCCTAGTTGCGGATGTGGGGCCTCATAATTTACCACGTGGCAGATGCCTACAAAGATCAAAAGCCTGCTTGATCACCTTATTATTGATAAATATGAGTTCAAATAAATTCTAGGAGACTCAAAATGTTGTATACTTTAGTTAATTTTTTAGAATTGAACCAAAATTTCAAGGTTTCAGCTCCAGCCATTTATTTTGGGATTTTTTTTTGAAATATTGTTTCTTTTCATCATTAAATTCTATAATTAAATCCATAGATAATAAATTAATAATTTTGATAACATAAAAGCTTATACTTTGAAAATCTACCTGGCAAAAATAATGTTTTCATCTAAGTGGTGGTAAGAAATTAAACCATTTGGGTCAAATGAGTCAATCAATGTTGCCATAAGTAAATAATAAAATTCAAAATAAATAAAATGCAAAAAATATAGAAATTACAAAATTTGGAAACATTTTAACATCATATATTTGACATACTAAACAATAATAAGTATGATAAACAGTGTTTTAAAAACTGACCCAGAGGTCGACCCGTTTTTGCCTTCAAGTCATAGGTCACCAATTCGACTATCAAGGTCAAATGGGTCAAACCACCTTGTATCAACACTATACGTGTGTGCGTGTGTGTGTGTGTGTAAAAACATATATTTTATCGATAAATAGTATAATTATATTTTTACATATATTAATTATATATAATATATGTATTATGTTACATTTATTTATGATTTTTAATTCAGTTTTTTTATTTATACAAAATATTAAAAATTGCAATTTGGGGCCAAAAAAGGGGTTTTCACAAAAATAGCAAGGTAAGGCGCCAAAGGCCATTGGGACGTATAGGTCATGAAAAGTTACTCAAAATAATAAAAAAAATAACCTCAATCGAACTTCAAAGTACAAAGTTATGGCGTCCAAAAGTGTGCACATAATTAAATACGCAACCTACGGCTTGCTTAATAGGTCGAACGAGCCAATGGTTGAATCGCCTGGGTTAGATAGCTTTTAACTACAAGGGGAGTTTCAACAAATCAAACCCAGAATCAAGGCTGAGTGACAGTTTGAACGGTTCAATTAGCCAAGTCAACAACAAGTTAAAAACATTGATGATAAAAAAGAAATGTTTTTATTAATGTTCAACCATTTGGGATCAAATGCGTTAATAAATAATGTCATAATTAAATAATAAAAAATTAAAACAAATAAAATTTATAATACAAAAAATAAAAGAACTGGACACGTCACTATTATTGTATATTCATTATACTAAACAAAAACAAGTATGAAATGTAAGAAGTATTTTTATAAATGATGAAAATGAAATGCCAAAATTAAAGACAACCTAGAAATGATAATAAATTTTTTAAAAACAAAAAATACAAAGAATCACAAAAATAAATATTATACATAAGATATAATATAATTAAAAGAATATATAAAAATATATATTAATTATGTTGTCAAACAAAAATTAAATGTGATAAGTAAAAAATTATTTATATAATGTTAATGAAATATATAATTTAAAACTGAACTAATCTGAAAGCAAAACTATTTTGTTATCTAAATGGTGAGTCAATGATAAAAAAAATCATGATGTCATAATTGAATAATAAATATTTAAAAAATAGAACACAAAAAATAAAAAGTACAAAGTTATATCAAAGACATTTTTGGAATATTTCTAATGTTATATAGTCATCATATTAAATAAAAATAAATGTTAAAATAAAAATAAAAATACAAAATTTAGTAGTAATAGCAGCAGCAGCAGTAGTAGTAGTAGTAGTAGTAGTAGTAGTAACAACAACAACAACAATAGTAGTAATTGTTATTGTAATTTAAAATTTCTATATGTGCACATTTAATACAAGTATTTAAGCAAAACTGGTCAGGTTACTTAAAGATTAAACCAAAACCGACCCTCCATTAAGCAAAACTGACCTGATCGGTTTAGGTCGGTTTGGGTTGGTTTTGGATTAAATTAATACATTTCCAAAATATATATTTCAGTTATATATATAATATATATTTCATAAATATATATATTATATAAAATATTTTATAATATATTTGCTAGAAATATATTTAAAACTAAAATGCGTGTATATATATTTAAAACTGAAATATACATATTATATATAATATTTCAGTGAGAATATATTTATAGATAACTCGGTTCACTGAAACCAAACCGAATTATCGGTTTACCCATCTTTACAACTCAAAACCGATCGGTGGTGAAAAAAAACAGGCCAAATCAGGTTGGATCGGGCTAAATTGATCAGGTTGAATTTATTTGTGAACAGCCCTAGAGTTCAGATCTACTAACCACAACACCTTGTTGGCCATGTTCGCCCAGCCTCATATCGGGAATATCAATGATATAAATTATAAGAGATATTCCCAATGTGCAACTGGGTGAACGTGGCCAACAATACGTAGCGATCAGCAGATCCTAATTTATCACTAAGAGGGTGTTCACAAATATGCTTGAGTTTGTTCTCAGAACACTATGTACCGTGTTAAAAAAAATGCCAATTATTTTCATTTAAGAAAAACAAATCATGCATATTGCTTAACATCCCACAGGTGTCATCATCAAACCTGGAAGTGAAAATCTATTCTAGCCAATTTTGATTTTGGTTCCGATTACAACTCCAGTCTAAACCAAACAGATGAAGGAAATAGATCATTAAACCAACCAGACCCTCAAAACAACTGGTCGGGCAAAGCCTCTATCAGTCTATCTTCTACTATTAGTAAGCCTTCTTGGGCTAAATTGGTAGTTAAACTGTTCATATTGTGAACCCCTCAATGAAGCAACTCATTTCTTTATAGAATGTTAGTCTAATATAGCACATTAAGCCATTCGATTCCAAATAGTTTGAATTAAACCACTAGATTCCAAATCCGGACCTATTTCCACAAATCAAAGCAGATCCTATTTTATTGGATTGGAATGAAGGGTCAAAGGTTAACTTGGTAACCTCATTGTCAATGACGTCATCGTCTTGTAAAACGAGAGGGGATATTTTGGGTATTTTGTTGGATTCCTTTCTTCTTCCTTTATAATTATATATCTCTTTCTTTTAGTTGAATTGAAGGCCTAAAAATAAAAATAAAAGACTTGTTCCTTACTTTAAAGCATTGTTTTGCGGGAAGTGGGGACATTTGGTGCTCACTCTCGTCGTCTTTCTCCATCTCTCTCTCTCTCTCTGGCCTGCAACTTTTGTGGATTCGCCTACACACAACGCATTGAAAGGCAAATCCAATACACCCCAGATAAGATTAAGAATGGGGACCTGATGCAATAGAGACACCAGACCAACAAACTAAAACACGCGCTTTAAAACAGACCATTGGATCGGAATATTTTTTTTCCTGAAGATTCAAAAGAAAAGGGTTTCCTTTTGTCAAAGAGAAACTGCAGAAAGGTCTACCATCCACGTTTGAATCTCAATATTTAGAGAGGATAAAGGGTATTGGCTGATCATCAGCATCAGATGACTAATAACTTGATATCACAACACCAATGGTGACAAGCCATGGGCCTATCAAACAACGCATAGGAAAAGAAAGGACGGATCATGAAAACGAACAATCAGTCAATGCCTGCCAGTCTCAGAGACAACTAGACAACTAGTGGGTGTTTGTGTTTGGCTTATCATATTGTTGTATGGGCATTGCGCTTGTATTATATTTATGCTTTGCAAATCACAGATTGTAATGCAACATTTATTGGTTCCATAGAGAAAGACAACGGATCCAATTAGTCAGGAAATAGGATCCAACTTGAATTATAGACAAACGAAGTAAAAATGTTGCTTCGGTGCCTTGGGCTTTGCAAAGAAGATTTGGGTTTCAGCATGTTTGGGGTTTGAGTCGTTTGACAAATTGATGCAACAACGATGGGGTTTAGGTACATGATGCCTTAACCATAACGTATTGGATCCATTCTATCTCATTTGAAATGTTATCGCCCATTGGGTGTATCACAATCATTGTTGGTATTAGGTGACCGTTTGGGCAACATCTTCTAGCCTTCCTACATGGACAGCCACTATAAGCATTAAGTCGTTAACCTTGCTTGGTGAAAATCCATAGCCTAAATTGTCATTTTATTTGAAGGACTGTCCACTTCAACCTCTTTAGATAGCTTATCCGGAGTGCTTCAAAGCAGCTGAACTAGGTTAGTTGAATTTTGAGGTTCGGCCCTCCCTCCCAAAAGGGCCCATGCCTTTAGTCTTCAGATTTTAAAATGAAATCGTACCCTGGAAAACACAAATTGCAACATATATGGTCCTCTTGCAAACAAAACAAGAAAGACTGGGACAATACTTTGGCGACACATATATAGGATATAAGGCCTTTTTTATGAGTAATGTAATAAGGCCCTTGAAGAACACAATGTCAAACTTATCCAGAGAACAATGTACAGGGTAACATAATATGCGACCCAATCGATCAATCATGTCTTCTCTTTTCCTTGTCTCGTTTGTGTTTCCTCTTGTCTTCCGAATCATGTGAATGCCGTGAATGCCGTTTCCCATGCCTGTCATGTTTTCTCTCTTTCTTCTCTTCATGCCTCCTTTTCTTCGGACTCCTCTCATCCCCTGAAGAAGATGCTGCAGCTTCGGTGTTTCTTGCTGGTGGATTGAGCTCGGCTGTATTAACCATCTCAGATGAAACCACCTCTGGCATGGGTGGAAGAGAACTTGATTCTTCCCAAAGACGGGGTGCTCTATGGTAATAATTTGAAAACAACAAAAAATATAGATATTTAAGAGGCTACAACAAGATAAAATATGCGAAGAAGAAATATTAGAATAGGAATGCCAGCATGGTAATGTAATCTGCACATTTGCGATCCTAATAACTACAGATCCTGAGTTTGTATCTATTAGAAATGTCAGAAACCTACATTTTCTTTGGAAAAATATCATGTGAAGTTCTAAATTCTAACACGCATTGATGCTGTTGAATTAGGCCCACCATTCCTGGCGAGTCTGATGTTTATTTTTCTGTATATATAGATATATATTTTTTGCCGACCACCATCACAAGAAAGATCCAGGGAAACAAGGCAACAAAGATCAACATTGATGAGATCAAAATATAACAAAAGACAACAAGCTAGAACCAACAACACTAGAATATATAAATAAATAAATAAAATGTTTGGATGGGCAAAAAATGGCTCAATTTTGAGGTGGTGCTGGCACGTGATTCTCAGATCAAGGTGCATATACTTCAAATGAAACAAGCCATGCTCCAAATATGATGGACAAGAAACGGGATTCATGCATTCCTCTTCAATTTCTGGGATTTATTTATTTGTTTTCCTTTTTTTGTGGANGGGGGTAAGGGGTTTGAGGTTAAAGATCAGCCAAGTTTGAGCATCACATTACCATGAAAAGTTAGGTTACAGAATTCACATGGAGCAATTGGCTCTTAGGAATTTTAGTTATTTCTCCCTGGACCATGCGCGTCACTGATTGACAAGTCTTATTTTGGGATTTCAGAGAAGGTGGATACAAGTCTACACACTTGTGAATCACATTATTCATCAATGGTTCCCCAAGGAGGATTTGGCCGTACATGGAAATAAGAGGATTTTGGGATTTCATGGCAATAAGAGGATTAGGCAATGAATCCTCCATCCTCATTATTATTTATTCTTTTGGTAAAAACTATAGCCAGATTATTAAAAGAGGCAGACAATTGTGGGCTTTTGGAGGATGGGAGAAGACAAGGAAAAGTATTTCTGGACCGTCCAATCTGTTCAAAATCATTTTGATTTAGATTGGTTTCAACCCAAACCCGGTCCATTGACACATATATTCTTATGTTATATCAATGGACCAGATATTGGCTTAATCCAACCCAACCCAATATAAATTTGTTACGGACAGACCAGGTCCAATCCAATCTAATAAATATTTTGGACCGGATTGGTCCAGTCCAATGTCTTGTTGGTCCGTCCAATCCATCCAAATTGATTTTGGACTAGACGGGGTCCAATCCAAAACCGGTCCATTGACACCTTACATGAAGGGAACAGCTCAAGCCCAACAGGTGCAGGTCACGCTCCCATCACTCATCACTTCACTAGAAGACAAAAGGGCTAGCTTGCCACGTCTTCAGATACACTATCAGAGTTAGCTACACTGCCACATGAAGATATTCTCCTCACGACTGTTATGGATTGCTTAGCTATATAAGGTCCCAATTGTGTAATAAGTGGAATCAGTGAATTGAGACTCATCTCATTTATTTCTTACCTTCCTGTTTCTCCCTTCCACTTTTTCTGTTTCAGGAGGTTGAGCCACCCTTGAAGGGGCTTCCGTGGTGAGCAGTTCTCATCACATGTGAATCTGGCTAAATAACTAACCACAAGTGAACACATCCATACAGACTTGCATTTGCAACAGATCACTGTTCTATCTTAGTTGTGGTTTGCTGATAATACTTTTTTATTGGGAGGGGGGATTACTATGATGTTCTCCATCCTTGAAACAGTAGAGAGGGTTCTGGATCTGCAAGTAAATCTTAAGTGTAGCTTTGCGGAAGACCAATATGGGAGAGATAGATAGGAGTTTACTGGCTTATTGAGTTCGTAGATGGTTTGGTGGCCCCTCAAATATCTTGGTATCAGTGTTTTAAAAGCGCAAGGTGCAAGGCAAGGCGCAAAATTAAAAAAAAAAAAAGCTAAAAAATCAAAAAAATTATAAAACATAATACTAATAAAAATATAAACTTAAGTTTTAAAATAAATGTTTTAAAAAACCTATTATCTAAAATTAAAATACATAAATATAATATATAAAGCATATTCAAATGAGAATTTAAAAATGAAATCAAACATATAAAACATTTTCAAGCATATAAAACCCACAATCTCTTTTTTTTCTCAATTGCATCAAATAGCTAATGTGACATATTACATTCCTAATTCTACGAGCCGCCTTTGTGCCATGTCCCTCGAGGCAAGCCCAAACAAGGCCATGTTAGGGTCTTAAATTCTTARTATTCACACAAAAATAATAATTTTATAGTTTTAATTGCTTTTAAGAAGATATTTTATTAGGATGAATGTATGGACAACATTACCAAATAGGGGATTCTCGAAGCTTTGGTGAGCGAGTGAATTATTATTTTGTGTGAAAACTAAGAATTTAAGACCCTAACATGGCCTTGTTTGGGCTGGCCTCGAGGGGCATGGAATGGGGGTCCGGGGGCGGAGCCCCCGGCCCAACGGCCAGACTCAAAAAAATGGAAAAAGTGGCAAATTTTCAAAAGGCGCACACCTGGGCTAAGGCACAAGGCGCACCAGGCATGCATCTTTTGAATGAGCTGTGCCTAGGCCTTGGGCGAGGCGCCTACCCTAAAATGTGCCTCGCCTATGCGCCTAGGCACGCCTTTTAAATCACTACTTAGTATACCCTTGGGAGGAAACCCCTCTTGGGATGTAATGGAGAGATATTCAAACAAACTAGCATTTTGGAAAAATAATCATATCTTAGAAAAACTAAAAGAAAAAAGCTTTGGCAACAAAAAGAAAGGGTGGAGCCACTTTGCTCCAAGTGTGAATGCTGCAAATGTCCTCAAACAGAGACATAGGATCTATCAATAGCAGTTTGGATAGAAAAGTATGGGTCCATTTTGCTCACATATGGGTATTGAATTTTTCAATGCAAATTCTGTGGGTGTTAGATTAAATCTGTCATAATGTGCTAAGAGAAGAAATGACCAATGGGACCCAAGCTATATCGTAGTATCATTTTATAGGAAATCTGGAAATAAAGGAACAGAAGAAGGATAGAGAATAGGATGCTTTGTTCTCAAGGGATTTGTTGGAAAATTAGCAAATTGTCAAAGTTGAATTCTTCACTGCACCCTCAGCATGCCATTGGAGTGTCATTGTGTGTGTCTTGCGTGGGGATCGAGCGAACATGGGGCCTCATCAACTAGCCCCGTGACAAAATGGCTTAATGAAATTCCTGGGCCAGACTTGTTTGATAAAGGTTTAAACTTTATGGAGAAGGCCATTGCTAGCCACAAGCTTAAAAAGGTAATATTCACAGCAAAAGGACAACTTGGTTTTATGTTTACCCTCCTGAGACTGATTATTGTCAAGCTGAATGTCAACAGAGCCTTGTAAGAAATCCAGGCTGGAATGGAGGTGGTATTTTAAGAGATTGGAGGAACAATCAAATTTAAGCTTTTGCAAACTGGTATGGCTTCTCAATTAATTTACAGGAAAAATCAAAAGTTATGCTTGATGAGATTGATCTTGCTAGAGCCATGGAATTCCAAAAAATAGAAGTCCATTCTCATTCGTTGACTATTTTGAACATGATGGAAAGGAAATGGGTTTTACATTGGACATTTGGTCTCTCTAGTAGTGAATAAAAAGGATGGAAGAAGTGATGGAAAATATGCAAGTCAAACTCATTCACATTTTTCAGGAAGGTGACAGAGCGACAAACATCTTGGCTAGTTATGCATGTCATATGGAGGCTCCGGTTGATCTGATTAACACTCTTGGGGAGAATGATATTGGATTATTACCTTATTTACGTGTTAAATAGTTTAGCGGGCTTTTGTTTTTCTGTTGCTTTTAGAGATTATCACTGGTATTTTCCTTACAGTCTGTTTGGTTTGCGTGACCGGGATGAGAAAATAGGAATATCAGTTCTCATCCCATCCTTTCTCATCAACCAAACGGACCATTACTGTATGTCTATAGTAAGGATTATCTCGCTTGTATAGTTTTCCAGAGGGGTGAGGTTTTTATGTCCCCCCATAGGTTAGGTTTTGCTTTTCTTATTTTTAATAAATATCTTAGTGGCCACCCCTCCACCAAGACATTCTGTCTTGGAAAAGAAGAAAATAAAGGGCCAGAAGAAGAAGAAGAAGAGGACGAGGAGGAAAACCTCTCTCTCTCTCTCTCTCTCTCTCTCTGTTTTATTTTTCTATTCTTGCAGTGGAATGACACTTGCCCTAATCATTCCATCAGAGAAACGTCATTTTTTCTTTATTTTTTTAATGAGAAACTGGACTCCAACGAGTCTTCTGTTTTCAGTAAAGATTAAACAGTTTTTGAGTAAACATAACTAGTTTCATCTTGGGGATATTTTCCAATCATTAATCAATTTTTTGATAAGTTTTAATGTCTCAGAGCAGCTTCTAATTGTTCCGGTTGAAGGGATCAAAGACGCCAATGGTTTCAATTTTTTGGGTTGACTAAAAACATCTGGTTTTGGGTAGGTTTTCATTTTTTTTTGGTTTTAACAATGTAGTGAATTGATAGGTATTGACTGTTCTCTTCAAGGATCTCCAGATTTACCAGAAAGAAATTGACTTGTTAAGATTGCGATTTCTTCTTAAAATTTATGTGAGGGTTATTGTTATTTCTCTGCCAAATGTATCTGGGTTTGATTTTGTTCTTTCCCAAACAGAAATCCTAGGTATTATTCTCTGATTGTAGGAAACCAGATGCGCTTTAAATGGAAAAACAGAGGTGATTTGGGCCTACTCCTATTTTTGTTGCATTTACATTTTTGTCAATTGGGAGGAGCAAAAGGAGGAATTTGGAATCTCATGAATCAAAGCAGTTTATGCAGACTGCAAGTAAATTCTGGGTTTGGGTGGTTTTGTGAGTTCTTAAAATTTGTTTTCTATTTAAGAACTCACAAGGAGGGGGTCTGTGGAGGTTGAGTCATTATCTGTCAGAGGCAAGAGACTCCTTGGAAATTGTAAATGTTAATCTGTTGTGGATACTGAGGGAGTTGAATCATATTGCAGATGGATTAGCTAGAATTGGAGCAAACTTAGAAAATTTATACAGCAACAGGCTTCCCCCCTTGTAATTTTGCGTTTCTGCTGATTAAGTTCTCTTTCCTTTATTTAGTGCATCTGCTCATGTACTCCTTGTTCTATTTAATGAAATCTGGTTAACTTTTTTATCAAAAAAAAAAAGTTTTCTATTGCTGTATTAATAGCCTCAAAAACCTCTTTCTTGTGCCAACTGGGTTTTTCCCTTTCCCTTTTTCTTTTGAGCAGCTGCAAGGTGGCCTCCCAACTTGTTTAATCGCTTTTCTTTGTCTGTCAAAGAGGGAAGGGGGTGCATTTCTCTTGTCTCTCTTAAGGCAATGGTCTGGTCCATTAATGTGACCCATATTGTGAAATTGAAGAATCCTGCAAAATTTTCTCAGCAGCCAAACACTAGGAAACAGATTTGTTGAGATAACTGGTCTCAGCAACCAAACATAGTGTTGACAGGAATGGGAAAATAAAATTTCCCTTCCCATCCCATCCTTTCTTGGCAACCAAACAGACCATTATTGTATGTGTATGGTAAGGATTATCTCGCTTGTATAGCTTTTCCAGAGGGATGAGGTTTTTATATCCCCCATAGGTTAGGTTTTGCTTTTCTTATCTTTAATAAATATCTTATTGGTCACCCCTCCACCGAGAGTAAACTGTGGGGTTAGAAAAAGGAGGAGCCCCTAATTCGGTCTTGGAAAAGAAGAAAATAAAGGGCCAGACGAAGAAGAGGAGGATGAGGAGGAAAACATACTTTGGTTACTCTTGCTTATTGATTCAAGTTTTAAGTCTTCAAGGCTAAAGGTCAAGACAACATCCACCAACGTGTGTCTCAATCAAACCCAAACAAATAAGAGAATAAAAAAAAAAGAAGCTAACAAATTTTCCTGCAGAGAACTGTTTATGTACTTATTTTCCTGTTTATATTAATAAAATCCTTTTGTGTTATCCATAAAAATATCTGTTTTTTATTAGCATAAAAAATATCTGTTGTAATATTATGACGTCAATTACCTCAGAAAATAAAAGTATAAAAAATATTACATGGCGCCTAGTACAAAAACAACTAGGCACTTGGGCAAGGCAACCTTCCATGGGTGCCTTGTCACCTCAACAACTGTGCTTGCAAAGTTTTGGTTTATTTGATATCCATGTTAACCCAAACTCCTTTGGCATTCAATTATAAAGAGTAAGTGTAGCATTCAACTATCTATCTTCTAGCAAAAGCTTCTACAATTGTTTTACACATGCTAGAATCTGGGAGAAATACTTCAACCTCAGTACCTCACAGCCCCACTTTCCATCTTTTTCAGGATCAATTGGTATCTGTTGTGATATTGGCAAATCTTTGAACCCAATCATAACTTGTTCTTAAATCTCAAGATTGCAAACACTCATACAGCTTTCCAATTTCCAACATATTCCCAAGAGTCTGTGGTCTTCTTTTTTAACCATCACACAACTGTATTGGAATCTCCATCCGCCAATAACACTCTAACTCCAAAGTGTTGGCCAGTCTCATGACCTACATTACTGCTAATAATTAGGTCCAAGTAGAATCACCATAGCCAATTGGACCAGAAAACTGTGCTATTTTGTTTCCTTAATCATTCTTAAACACTTACCTAATTCCTAATATTCCAAGGTTCCCCAAGCTGCATTCATAAAAAATTATCTTGATGTAGTTAGTCAGAAGGAGACCAAAAGGCCTGGAACTCCTTACTGAGGAAGATATTGCCACCAACTGCCAATTTCTAATAATGTCATCTGTCGAGAAGATAGAAAAAAGATTCCATAAATTTCACCAAATATGATATTCTCATGGTAACACTCTTGATAATTGCTACCTTACATTAGGCTTTCTCCCTCTTTGCAGCTATCTAAAGATTTTCTCTAAAGTTTCATGAGCCTTAGTTGCTTTGTCCCTAATACACACAGACACTATTACTTCGAAAGTGCATTCATAAGTCATTTCCTGAGGTAGACCATGTGCTAGTCCAACCATTGGAAAAGATGAAAAAACAACCTCAAGCCTGCAAAGGGGGAGGGGGACTACCTGTGGAAAGACACATTATGCAACAACAAACCACACAATGATACATATCATTAATCTGGATTACTGACATACCTATAATAGCCAAGACCTTGAACCCTTGCTGCCTCAGCATGGCCCTCACCCAAGTCCTCTGCTGTGGATCCTCTCTTTACTAGCTCTGAAAATTCATGTTTATCCAATCGATTGCCTTGGGGTCGATTAGCACGTTTAGGAGCTAAGCCAAGAGCCTCCTGCATTGCCTGCTCCTCCTCTTCTTTGATCCTTTGTATCTCTGTTTTGGCCGCTTCCATATCCGAATTTTCAGATWTTTTACCCCTAGCATACCAGTGTAGGTCTTTCCCTGGAAAGAAAAACAAAATAATAAATAAATAAATAGAAGAGTTAGAAAAGATAAATTCACACATTGTTAAGCAGATAAAGATTGACAGCATACATTCTTTAGAACATTGGGGTAAAGTCTACTAGAAATCCATGTTTTTGATAGGGGGGAGGAAAACAATGGTACAACTAGAGAGTAGAGATCCATGATTAATGCAGTAACGTGGGAAATTGTGGAGAAAAGAAACATGAGTGCAGTTTCAAAACAATGAAATGGGAATGATGTTGCCTTCCACCTCACCACCAAGGTTATGGCTACTGATAAATCAAGGGATATCATATAATCACTCGAGGAAAAATCTGCCAGGGATTCTCCAGCCTTCTTCTCATGGGAATCTAGAAAGGACAATTCCCACCAAGGAGGAGCCTAAAATATAGTTTGATGGCAGCTCTAAACATAATCCAGGATCAAAGAATTCCAATGTGGATGACATTCTTAGATGATGCAATGAGGTGGCCTCTTCTTTGATGAGCATAGATGTTCCCTGATGCATTGGTGTCCCCTCACCAAGAGATGTTGACATGTTGTCAAACTGAATTTCAACGGATACTGCTTGGGAAATCTAGGCTTCTCCTCATCTGTAATTACATGCTAGTTTACTGAGTTATTTCACCCATCCCACCACCAAGGTTCAAAGTATTGATACACCTCTGTGTATTGGCAGAGGTGTATCGGTACTTAAACATGCGCCTTTAATGTTTTTTTTTTCAAATTTCAATTATATACATATATATTCATTAAAAAATAATATATATACATATATATTATTTGTTTAAAAAAGGGTTCACGAAAACACCTGTAAACAGGTGTATTGGACACCTGAAGATACGACACGATACACCCAATACAGGGCATATTGTATCAATACTTTGAACCTTGCCCATCACCACTTTAAAATCCCCTTCCACTATTAAATTTCTGATGTTGAGCGACTTTTTCAACCTAAGTCCCCAAAGAACAGCTGACAGCTTTGCTCTTGTTGAGTTTCCTACACCTAGAGGATCTGAGTGTATATACCTAAAAATGGTCCCTTGGGAGTTTCTGAACACACCACCAGCTCCTGAAACACCTAGGTTACTCCTGTTGCACCCATCAAAGTTCAGTTTGATTTAGTTTGGAAGAGGAGGGCTCCACTGCAATATAAGCATTGTTTAATAGTTGATGATTGAGCAATCAACAATGTATTGCCACCTTCTAAGAAGGTCAACTATGGAGAATGGGGCAAATGCCTCTAATATTTTTACAAAATGCACATCTTTGACTTGGATGCTTTCCACAATGTCTTCCATGGACCTTTTCTGCTCTTTGAAAATTTTACCATTCCTCACTTCCCAAATCTGCCATGATACTGCTTTCCTCATACACTTCCAAATGATTCTTCTCCTTTTTCCTAGGCATAGTAAGGAATGAAGGTTAAATAAACTTCTGATCTCTACTGGGGGCTTCCACCTGCAACCTAGTAGAGAGGGAGAGAGAGAGAGAGAGAGAGAACCTTTCACAAATATAAGAGACAAATGAGCAGGAGATTAGTCAGTGATAGGTCTTAAAACAGATACAAGGAGATATGCATCAAGTAGGACTCTACAACAAATGGTACCTGAAGAAAGATCATAGAATGTTCTAGGAAAAATGTAGAGCTCATCAGCACCAGAACTGCACTTCAAGGCTTTACGTAGGTGGGTTGACTCACGTGAATGTTGAGTTCAAAAAAGATGAGAGGTAATACAAGCACACCCACAAGCCCATTCCATTGACACAGGATCAGCCATCTTCAGAATGTAAACTATGTACGGCCAATGGACCTCCACATTGAATCCATGAACACCCAAGGAGACTTGTTTGGAGCAAGTCATGAAGGCTAGCACAAGATCCAAAAGATTCATAGACATTTTCTTTGATAGTTTGATTACAATTTACTATTCTTACTTTATAGTCCTTCCTACCTCTAAGGTTGTTGAACCAGTAAGGATTTGCCAATGTTTATTCTACTAGCAGTTCTTGTTCCCCATAGCCCCACCACAAAACATGCATAGCAGTTCTAAAGTATAAAATAAGGCAAACCCTATTTATGGTGTAAGCACATGGATTTAGACCCTATAGAGATTGCACTGTGCAACTTAAATAAGTGACCACAACACAATCACGTAGCAACACATGCCTAAATCCACATGCTCAAACAGCAGGTAAATTGTACTGAAGAATACCTAACTATGTTGTACACACTCCCGCAATGAGATGTGGCGGACCATCACCACAGAACAAGACTTAACTGAGCTTCAGATGTTAGCCCACCAGCAATTTAATACGCCAATGCAGTAATTCTCCACACTGCAATGACACTGTAGCGCAGTAGCATAACGTAGGTCAGCGACAATGTCATACTTGAGCATGAAGAACCACCACCCACCTTCCTCCCCCCAATACAACCACCCCACATAGTCGAAAAAGCCAGTGGCCCCTCTAAATCTCCAGAGAGCCAGGCTGAGATTCATGAATATGTTCAGAGCCTCATCAAGGCTAACCAGACCTGAGCTAGAATCTCCATTCTCCTCCAAAAGCTTTACTCCAACCTCATCTTGAACAAACCCTACCAGGTTGGGCACACCCCTCTCCAACAGTAGATCCTGTACGACAGATGGTGTGGGAACCCCCATGAACACATCAACAATTTTGAAGATTCCATGGGATCCATTGGGCTGGACGGAGATCTTACTATCAGAGAGTTCTCCAAATTGCAAACAGGCCTAGCCGASTCCTGGTTTGTGAGCCTAACACCAAGGGGAATCGATTCTTGGGACGATTTAGTGGAGAAACTTGTCACCAAGTGGTTTACCTTAGAAAGGCGCATGACCATGGCAAAGGACTAGAGATAGGTTGTTAGACAACATTATGAGATTCCAGAAGGTGATGCACTTCGTGCTGGACAAGAGAATCACGGAAAAAAAATCGTAGAGTAGTGTGTGTGCAGGATGAGGCTTGCTTATTGGATCGGCATAGAAAATCATGAGATACCAAACTTTTGCAGCTCTAGAAATGCGCAGAAAAAACATCTAACACATAACAAAAAATTCAAAATGATTTATTCTATTTCAGTGAAGAATAGACACAACAAAAAAAAATCAAATGCTCCAACAATTCACAAAACCATAAGGACAAGTTGTATGGGACACATGTTGTGGGCAGATACTGATATATTCAAATTCAAGTTCATAGTCACATAGCAAATTAACAAACCACTTTCACCTCAATGCTAAAGGACCACATATATGCCCTATGCTGAGGGCCCAGGGCCCATATTCAAAATAGACTAGTCTAGGATGCCATCATTTCCATCCCAATTGTGTGTGTGTGGGGGGGGGGGGTCTACATGTAGTCATATAACATTAGACTATAGCAGATACATCAAATCACACAACTCTCACAAAATGAATTCAACATAACAATAAAAAATAGACTAGTCTAGGATGCCATCATTTCCATCCCAATTGTGTGTGTGTGGGGGGGGGGGGGGGGTCTACACGTAGTCATATAACATTAGACTATAGCAGATACATCAAATCACACAACTCTCACAAAATGAATTCAACATAACAATAAAAAATAAATAAATAGATATTAACAAGTTCGAGAAAATGCCATTGATTCTTTTACCTAATAAACGGTCAACCAAGTTTTTAAAATAATTATCAATATACCACAATAGCCCAAAGATTCACTTATTTTCCAAATTCATAATATCTAAAGTCCACACATGCTTGAATCCTAATTCAAATAAACAAAAAAATACACATATATACAAAGAAATTCTTTTGTTAATTAAACTAATAGTTCACAAGAAAATTAAAAAAAAAACAAAATAAAAGAAAACAGTTAACTAGAAGACAAAAAACACCTACCAAACACACCAAATCCAAAGTACCAATAAAAGTGAGTCACAATATGTCCGAAATCTTATAAATCAATGAGTAGTTGTTACAACCAATCTGAGGTAGTTGACTAGCTTAGGTTCAAAGACGCCCAGATTTCCAGTTTTCAGTTTGCATGTTTATAGGACCAAATTTTAGCATCTGTAACTTACACTCCAACCACCTAAAATAGGAATTTATCCTTCTAACAACTTCTCACAACATATTACAAATTAGAATCAAGTCCCATCCAGAAATGTTCAAAAAGAATAATTTGGGTTAAGACAAAAGTTAGTCGTCGACCAACATTGCCAGAATTTCCAGATTTTAATGTGTTCATGGGCCCAACTTCCAAGACTCATAACTTCTGGCTCAATTATCTATTTTTGCAAGTGTAACCTATCAATGTGAAGACCTCATAGCATATTACATTTTAAACATCAGTTCGACCATGAGGATCATTGGACGACCACTTTCCAACAGCCTAAAATTGGTTGGTCGCTAAATTTTTCCTAGAATTCCCAGATCTAACATTACTTTTAGTCCAAATTTTTCCTAGGATACCAACTTCCAAAAACCGTAACTTTTAGTCCAAATGTCCAAATGAAGGGTTTTATCAAACATTTAGAAAATCTCAAAGATAATTACAATTTAGAACCAAAATTCAATCAAAAACATCATCAAAATGCTGGCTTCCGACGGACTAAGGTTGGCAGACGTCCACTATGTCCCCATCCCAAAATTTAACATAACTTTCATTCCATAATCCAAAAGATACAAGATTGGATTCGTTGAAAGCCTAATGATGCGAGGTCCTTATCAGAATTATTTTTCCTGTTGGAAAGTGGCAGAAAAATGAGCATCCGGTGAAAAAACATAATTCTAAATTTAATATGCAAGAAAAACGAAAAATGAAAACTAAAGGGAGAAAAAGACGTGCCGAAAGTACCAATATTGGTCGAACTTTCCATCTTTTTTGCTATCGGTGCTTTCATCATCACTAGACCCCTCGGGCACCTCATCAAATTCATCGTCAGAATAAGCAGGCCCTCTTTC